TCACAGAATTGACGAGGGGAAAAGAGAGAGTGGTGCACTTAGGAGTCTGTGGAGACAAAGAACTCTGTCCGTCTAAGCAAAAACGGGTATGTATGAGAGCATAGTCGTACCAACACTCTTGTATGGGTGTGAAGCATGGGTGACGAATGTTACAACGAGGAGAAGGCTGGAGGCAGTGGAGATGTCATGTCTGAGGGCAATGTGTGCTGTAATTATAATGCAGAGAATTCGTAGTTTGGAAATTAGGAGAAGGTGTAGGATTACCAAAACTATTATCCAGAGGGCAGAGGAGGGGTTGTTGAGGTGATTCAGACATGTAGAGAGAAGGGAACAAAACAGAATGACTTTGAGAGTGTATAAATCTGCAGTGGAGGGAAGGCAGGGTAGAGGTCAGCCTAGGAAGGGTTGGAGGGAGGGGGTAAAGGAGGTTTTGTGTGCGAGGGGCTTGGACTTCCAGCAAGCGTGCATGAGCGTATTTGATAGGAGTGAATGCAGACAAATGGTTTTTAATACTTGACGTGCTGTTGGAGTGTGAGCAAAGTAACAATTATGAAGGGATTCAGGGAAACCGGAAGGCAAGACTCGAGTCCTGGAGATGGGAAGTACAGTGGACCCTCGCCTAACGTTAGCATCACATAACATTAAATCCGCCTAGAGATACATTTTAACGCTAAAATTTTGCCTCGCCCAGCCTAAAAAGCTCGCTCAACGCGAATCGTACGAGATGCATCCATGTGCGGCCTGAGCCAGCCTCAATTGTTCCGCCAGTGGCATTGTTTACAAGCCAGCCTCCGCGGTCACATCCAAGCATACAATCGGAACATTTCGTATTATTACAGAGTTTTTAGTGATTTCACCTGCAAAATAAGTGACCATGGGCCCCAAGAAAGCTTCTAGTGCCAACCCTACAGGAATAAGGGTGAGAATTACTATGGATATGAAGAAAGAGATCATTGCTAAGTATGAAAGTGGAGTGCGTGTCTCCGAGCTGGCCAGGTTGTATAATAAACCCCAATCAACCATCGCTACTATTGTGGCCAAGAAAGCGGCAATCAAGGAAGCTGTTCTTGCAAAAGGTGCAACTTTGTTTTCGAAACAGAGATCGCAAGTGATAGAAGATGTTGAGAGACTCTTATTGGTGTGGATACACGAAAAACAGATAGCAGGAGATAGCATCTCTCAAGCGATCATAAGTGAAAAGGCTAGGAAGTTGCATGAGGATTTAATTAGAAAAATGCCTGCAACTAGTGATGATGTGAGTGAATTTAAGGTCAGCAAAGGTTGGTTTGAGAGATTTAAGAAGCGTAGTGGCATACATAGTGTGATAAGGCATGGTGAGGCTGCCAGTTCGGACCACAAAGCAGCTGAAAAATATGTGCAGGAATTCAAGGAGTACATAGACAGTGAAGGACTGAAACCTGAACAAGTGTTTAATTGTGACGAAACAGGCCTGTTTTGGAAGAAAATGCCAAGCAGGACCTACATTACTCAGGAGGAAAAGGCACTCCCAGGACATAAGCCTATGAAAGACAGGCTTACTCTGTTAATGTGTGCCAATGCTAGTGGTGATTGCAAAGTGAAGCCTTTATTGGTGTATCACTCTGAAACTCCTGGTCATCCTATAGACTTGGCAGAGCGACTTTGTGGGGACATGAGCTTCATTAAGGTCAAGTTTTTGCCTCCTAATACCACTCCTCTCCTGCAGCCCATGGACCAGCAGGTCATTGCAAACTTCAAAAAACTGTACACAAAAGCTCTGTTTGAAAGGTGCTTTGTAGTGACCTCAGAAACTCAATTGACTCTAAGAGAGTTTTGGAGAGATCACTTTAATATCCTTAATTGTGTAAACCTTATAGGTAAGGCTTGGGAGGGAGTGACTAAGAGGACCTTGAACTCTGCTTGGAAGAAACTGTGGCCAGAATGTGTAGACAAAAGGGATTCTGAAGGATTTGAGGCTAACCCTGAGAAGCGTATGCCAGTTGAGGAATCAATTGAGGCATTGGGGAAGTCCTTGGCATTGGAGGTTAGTGGGGAGGATGTGGAAGAGTTGGTGGAGGAGGACAATGAAGAACTAACCACTGATGAGCTGCTAGATCATCTTCAACAGCAAGAGGCCAGACCTGAGGAAACTGCTTCGGAGGAGGGGAGAAATTGAAGAAGTTGCCTACTTCAAAGATTAAGGAAATATGTGCAATGTGGCTTAAAGTGTAAACCTTTATGGATGAAAATCACCCTCAGACAGCTATTGCAAGCCGTGCTGGTGACTATTACACTGACAATGTTGTGAAACACTTTAGGAATGTCATAAAGGAACGAGAGGTACAGACCTCTATGGACAGATATGTTGTGCGACAGAAGTCCAGTTACTCTGAAGCTGGTCCTAGTGGCATTAAAAGAAGAAGGGAAGTAACCCCGGAAAAGGAATTGACACCTCAAGTCCTAATGGAAGGGGATTCCCCTTCTAAACACTAAGACCATCAACACTCTCCCCTCCTCCCATCCCATCAATCATCACCAGATCTTCAATAAAGGTAAGTGTCATGTAACTGTGCATGTCTTCTTCAGTTTGTGTGCATTAAAATTAATATTTCATGTGGTAAAAAAAATTTTTTTTTTCATACTTCTGGGTGTCTTGCACGGATTAATTTGATTTCCATTACTTCTTATGGGGAAAATTAATTCGCCTAATGATAATTTTGCCTAACATTGAGCTCTCAGGAACGGATTAATAGCATTATGCGAGGGTCCACTGTACAGTGTCTACACTCTGAAGGAGGGGTGTTAATGTTGCAGTTTTGTAACTGTAGTGTAAACCACCCCTCTGGCAAGACAGTGATGGAGTGAATGATGATGAAAGCTTTTCTTTTTCTGGCCACCCTGCCTTAGTGGGAATCAGCCAATGTGTTAAAAAAAAAAAAAATTACAATCTCTTTGTTCCCCTTCCCGTTATATAAGTGACTATACATGCTCTCTGCCAATCCCTAGGTACCTTCCCCTCTTTCAAACATTTATTAAACAAAAATACCAACCACTCCAACACTATATCCTCCCCTGCTTTTAACATTTCTGTTATGATCCCGTCAGTTCCAGCTGCTTTACCCCCTTTCATTCTACGTAATGCCTCACGCACCTCCCCCTCACTCATATCCTGCTCTTCTTCACTCCTAAAAGATGTTATACTTCCCTGGCCAGTGCATGAAATTACCGCTTCCCTTTCTTCGCCGACATTTAAAAGTTCCTCAAAATATTCTCAGCATCTACCCAATACCTCTATCTCCCCATCTACTAACTCTCCTACTGTCTTGAACTGACAAATCCATTCATTCCCTAGGCTTTCTTAACTTGTTTAACTCGCTCCAAAATTTTTTCTTATTTTCATTAAAATTTCTTGACAGTGCCTCTCCCACTCTAACATCTGCTCTCGTTTTGCACTCTTTCACCACTCTCTTCACCTTTCTTTTACTCTCCATACGCTACTCTTCTTATAACACTTCTGCTTTGTAAAAACCTCTCATAACCTTTTTCTCTTTCATCACACCCTTTACTTCATCATTCCACCAATCACTCCTCTTCCCTCCTGCCCCCACCCTCCTATAACCACAAACTTCTGCCCCACATTCTAATACTACATTTTTAAAACTATTCCAACCCTCTTCAACCGCACCCCCCCCTACTACTCATACTTGCACTAGCCCACCTTTCTGCCAATAGTTGCTTATATCTCACCCGAACTTCATCCTCCCTTAGTTTATACACTTTCACCTCTTACTTGTTGCTGCCATTTCTTGCATACTTGTATACTTATTTATCCTCTTTTTCATAAAATTTGCATTATTACCAAACCTCTTTCTACACATAGTTCAATTAATGGCTCCCCATTTTCATTTACCCCTGGCACCCCCAATTTATCTACTCCTCCCTCTACAACATTTTTACCTAGTTTAGTATTGAGATCCCTAACCACAAGTACTCTCTGACTTGGTTCAAAGCTCCCCATGCCCTCACTCAACATTTCCCAAAATCTCTCTCTCCTCTACACTTCTCTTTTTTCCAGGTGCATAAACACTTTTCACATCCAACTCTTATTGTACTCCACACAATCCTTGAATTTATATATTTATATTCCTTCTTTTCCTGCCATAACTTATCCTTCAACATTATTGCTACTCCTTCCTTAGTTCTAACTCTATTAGAAACCCCTAAACTAATCCCAGTTATTTCTCTCCACTAAAACTCTCCTACACTTTCAGCTTTGTTTCACTTAGAGCCAGGACATGCAGCTTCTTTTCATTCATAACATCCCAAAATCGTCTCTTTCTTATCATTCGCACTACATCCACGCACATTCAAACATCCCACTTTGATGGTTTTCTTCTTTTTCTTTTTAGTAAACTACACAGGAAAAGAGGTTACTAGCCCATTGTTCCCGCCATTTTAGTTGACTTTTACAACATGCATGGCTTACGGAGGAAAGCTTCTTATTCCACTTCCCCATGTATATGAAAGGAAAAATAATAAGCACAAGAACTATTAAGATAAAATCAAAGAAAACAGGTGAGTGTGTACATAAATGTGTACATGCATGTGTTGTGTGACCTAAATGTAAGCAGAAGTAGCAAGACATACCTGAAATCTTGCATGTTTATGAGACAGAAAAAAGACACCGGCAATCCTACCACCATGTAAAACAAATGCAGTGGTACCTCAAGATACAAACTTAGTTCGTTCCAGAAGGCTGTTCGAGTGCCGATACTGAACGAATTTGTTCTCATAAGGAATAATGTAAATTAGATTAGTCTGTTTCCGACCCCCAAAAATACACTTACAAAATTGTTCGAGTTGGGAGCTATTCGAAACTCGTGGTACCACTGTACAGGCTTCTGTTTTACACTCACTTGGCAGTACAGCAGTACCTCCCTGGGCAGTTGCTGTCTACCAACCTACTAATAAAAACAAGGAAATTGTTTCCACCATACTGTACATTTTTAACAATGGTTTAC